ATTTTGGCAAGTGTGAGATGATACAGTGTTATTGATTTGCATTTTCCTGATGATTAGTGAATACTGATCAGATACCTGCTGGCTGTTTTGTACATCTTTGGAGAAATGTCTATTCAGGTCAATTGCCCATTTTTAAATTGGGTTATTTGTATTTCTGCTATTGAGTTGTTGAATTTTTTATAAAAGTTTACATATCAACCCTTTATTAGACATATGGTTTGCAAATATTTTCTCCCAATTCATCGGTTGCCTTTTTATTTTGATTGTTTGCTTTGTTTTGCAGAAGTTTTTTAGTTTAATGTAGTCCCTTTTATTTATTTTTGCTTTTATAGCCTGAGCTTTTGACGTGATATCTGAAAATTCTTTGCCAAGGCCAGTGTCAAGGACTTTTTCCCTTATGTTTTCTTCTAGGAGTTTTATGATTTCAAGTCTTATATTTAGGTCTTTTGTCCATTTTAAGTTGAGTTTTATATATAGCATAAGGTAAGAGTCCATTTCATTTTTTTTACTTGTGGAAATTCAGGTTCCCCAGCATCATTTCCAACAAGGGCAGCATCCTCTTGCTGCCCTTGTTGGAAATTAGTTGACCACATACGCTTGGTTTTATTTCTGGATTCTCTTTTCTGTTCTACTAGTCTATATGTTTGTCAGACACATATTGTTTTGATTATTATATTTTTAGATTATAATTTGAAATCAGGACTTGTGATGCCTTCAAATTTATTTTTCTTGGATTGTTTTGGCTATTGGGGGTCTTTTATTATTTAATACAAATTGGTTTACATTTTAAATATAGGGTTTTTTTCCTTATGGATTTCAGAATTTTCTGATTTTCCTTCTTGTCAATGAATTGGTTACTTTTAACTACTAAAGTAAAATGTACCTGTATCAAAATCAAATACTACATGAAAGTATATAAAGAGTAAGAAGGCTAGGGGTGTAGTTCAGTGGTAGAGTGCATGCTTTAGAGTGGCTTCTTTTTCAGTGTGTACCAGCTTCTACTTCAGTCCCTTCATTAAGGCAAACACTATTAAAAATCTTATCAGTAGGTTTCCTGACCTTTCCTCTATGAGTTTACAAATGAACATTTATACAACATGTAATGATATAGAAGTCAGAATTTTACTCATTCTATTTGGTAGTATTTTACAATTTTTTTCCTGCATTAGTGTTTATAGATCTAAGAATTTATATCTCTGACTTTCTTCTACTCCCTAAAATCCTTTGATTTCTCAGAAAAATGAAACTCTTACCATTTCTCTATCCCTCATAGTAATCTGTTCACCTCCCCACCATGTTATTCTGGCTTGTCCATAAAACATTGAGAGACTACTAGCTCAGAGTGTGTTCACTATTCTACCTCTGCTGCCTCCCATCTTCCTTTTTCAGAACTGGCTGGGTTACACCAAGAAGAGAGCACCCATCGGCTTTCATCGAGTTGTGGAAATTTTGCACAAGAACAGTGCCCCTGTCCAGGTAATGGCTTATAAAGAGATTTGAGTACAGGATACTCTGGGAGACTCAACTTTTAGCCTCTTGCTATTCAGTAATGGATAGTTGGCCTGTTCTGATTTCCCTCATTGGCATACAGTGGCTGCACTAGATCTTGAAAAATAGGTAAGGCCAGGAAAGAACAGTCTCTTCCCCCTTAGAAGTAACTCTGTAGACTGTCATCTGTTAGCAGCATCTACTGTGTTTAGCCATGTGAAGAACTGATATACTATTCAAATTATTCAAAATGATATTGATCAATGAGTATCAAGAAGCAGTAGGCAGTAAGAAGGGAAGGTACTGGGGAATGAGATTATATACATGTATGAATATGACATAGTGTATTCCATTATGTATATTTATAATGTACCAATAAAAAAATTTATCCTTGGGCTGGGGATATAGCTCAGTTGGTAGAGAGTTCGCCCTGCATGCGTAAGGCCATGGCGAACAATCTCCAGCACCACACACACAAAAAAATTTCATCCTAAAAATAGAAGCAGAAGTCAGATCTTCTCTAGTGCTGTGCCTTGCCAACATTCATATCTGACTTTAGGATAAGAAGGAATGTGCTCTTCCCTTCTTTCCTGGGGCTTCAGAGAAGTGGTGTCTAATATCACCTCATTTTCTTCTGCAGAACTAATCCTATGTGTGTTGATGGAAAGAGTAGATATTTAATATTGAACTCTTTACCTTCTTCCAGACATTTTATTTTCTACCTGTGGAGCTCTGTGTTCTATGGGAATTATTAATCAGAAGTATCTCTTCCCACAGATATTACAGGAGTATGTCAATTTGGTAGAAGATGTGGACACAAAATTAAACTTAGCTACTAAGTTCAAGTGCCATGATGTCGTCATTGATGTGAGTCCTAAGAAATGAAAACCCCAAATTTGATCCTTGGTGAAGATTGAGGGATTATAATTTTCTGTGACCTAGATCCTGAGATGCTTTTATCAGATTGGACTTAAAGGAGAAAATAGTCTGGCAAGCGTTAGTTGGAGATCAGCCCTCTAACAGGTTTCTCTGTGCTTTTATAATTTGTTGCATTTGGAGAACTCAGAATTGATTCAAGTTACTTAGACTCTGTAGACTTTAATCCTATATAAAGTACTGAGGGTACTTGATCCCCCAACTGTTATCCCACTGTGGTCTCTTGGCCTTTCCTGGATCCTTGAGGATCCATAATTTAACTCTTTGACTTATGAGAAAGATACTCTCCACCTGGTGCTCATGTGAAGGTGGGAGTCCATATTGGGTAAGATACAAAAAGAGGCAGTCCTTCATAGAGAAGACTAATTGGGGGTTTGTATTGTTTGTTTTGCTGTGTAGACCTGCCGAGACCTGAAGGATCGTCAGCAGTTGCTAGCATACAGGAGCAAGGTAGATAAAGGATCCGCAGAGGAAGAGAAGATCGATACTATTCTCAGCAGCTCGGTGAGCAGCTGCACTTTCCCCTCCAGTTGTCCTAGGAAACAGATAGTTCACAAAGTAGTGTCAATTGTATGTTCCCAAGACTTGGGCAGTATTGCACTTAGCTGAGTCCTGTGGATATAAGACTCATTGTGGGCCAAAATTTCAGAAGCACTGCTTTGAACAGTAAAAATTACTTCTGAGATCTGAGATATGAGATGATAAAAGGGTTGTTTGGGAACTACAGACTGAGTCTTAACTATGATGCTTATCAGACCATCATAGTTAAACCTTACAGACTGTAGGAACTGTTGAAACTATAAAAACATGTTACAGATTCTAAATACTCAGACTATACAGTCTTCTTGGATGGATATGATCTACCTATTCGAAATAAGAAGTGGGTAAAATAGATTTTAAGTATTTGGGGAGTATAGCTGATTATCTCTCATAGCATGAAATTACTGAATTTTTTGTTAATGTGGAACTTCATTTCCTATTACATATTTTGATACCTGTGCTAAGGTCAGCTAAAACTAGTAAATTTTGGTCCTGAGGAGGACAGAACCAGGATAAATGCCTTAAATCAGGCATTCTATAAAATACAGAATAGATATTTAATTCATCTCTGAATAAATTAACTCCCCCACATAGTAAAAAAAAATTCCCAATTACTCCCCAATCCAATCCTTACTTTCCTTTTTCTTATGTAATTTGCATTCTTTTTTTTTTTAATTTTTAAATAGGGCCATAGGGATATAGCTCGGGTTTTGTTTTTGTTTTTTTTTACACAATACCTTTATTTTATTTTTATGTGACTGAGACTTGAACCTAGTGCCTCATGCATTCTAGGCAAATGCTCTACCACTGAGCCACAACCTAGCCCTGTAATTTGCATTCTAATCTCTGCCTCCTGTGGGGATAAGTGAAAACTGATCACACACCTTCGTTCTTTGCTCTCTCTACAGCAAATTCGATGGAAGAATTAAAGGGCATTAGCTACCCTGAAACCTGCCTCATTTTTTCCTTTTTGCCTGTGAAAGTAGAGAGTCTGCTTCTTTGGGAGAGTTACAGCATCACATCACTTGGCCTCATTATTCAACAGGCAGTGCCTACTAATCTTGGGACAGAAATCAGCACCTGGACACAGAGAGCTTCAGACTGATCTTCTGTACAAGGGATGTTATCACAATTTAACTCTTTGACTTATGAGAAAGATACTCTCCACCTGGTGCTCATGTGAAGGTGGGAGTCCATATTAGGTAAGATCTCTCTTGGTCTAAGAAAAGTGACCATTCTTGAAAGGAACTCTCCTAGAATAAGAGGTATAGGTGTCACAGGGTAGCTGCTTCATTTCCTCTTAGCTAATTATGGTCCAGAACCTAGTGCTGGATGTTTGCAGTTCTGCTCTGAAGGAAGATAGAACAGAACCAAATTGGCTGCATTCCAGGGGCCTCTGGAAGTGGGGCCAGTACTGCTCAGGACCTGCTGGAGACACACTCAAACCAGGCTGTGCAACCCTTCTTCATTATGTCAGATGTTGCTAAGATATTGTGTTTCTTCAGCTAAAACCCCTCTGCTGTCCCAGTCTACTTTTCCCCCCAAAACTTAGGGTTCCTCTCTCACCGGCATACTGAGATGACCTTGATGAGATATCGCCCTTATCTTTTACTATCCCAGACCCACCACCTTATGCGGAGCTCAGATTCAGCAGTGCTGGAGTTTTCCCATTAGGTAAAAATCTCATTATCTTCCCAGAAGTGTCCAGAGAGTTTCACCTAGGCTAAACTCAGCAGCATTTCTCTGAGGATATTTAAATGGAGGTTTTATTTTCACACTTGACTTTTGACAGAATGTTTGGTGATGCTGTTTTCTGCCCTGAACCAATATCAGCCTGTTTGACTGACCTGGGTTTTCATACATGCCTACACTCCTAATAAAGCTTTTTCGTCCTTTGTGCCTTTTCTTCCCTGCCCAGTTGTTTTATGCTGAATGGTGAAATAATTACTCATGTCTTGTCTATGTCCGTGATTTCATTCAGCTACCTGTGAACACATGTCAGGTTATAGAGTAATGGTGCTTATGGCAAAGCAGGGCTGTATGGTAACAGAAAAAGCACTAAGCTGAGTGACCACAAGAACTAACTTCTTTTCCAGCTCTGCCACTGACAAGCTATGTGGTGCTGAGTGAATCCATTTCTCCCTGGACTCATCTTCATCTGTGAAGTGGGGGTATGATAATCTGTAACCCTGTAGAGTTCTGTACTCCTGTATCTGGAGTGGGAGAAGTGGTAGGAGGAAAAGACACCATGCGCCTACAGAGGCGCAGAGCATGCTTTACGGTGACATGGTTCTCCGTTGGAGGAAGTTTGCCCCTCAGGAAACACTGGGCAATGTCTGAAGACATTTTTCATTGCCATACTTGGTGGTGCTACTGGCATCTAATGCATAGGACAGCCCTCCACAACAAGGAATTATCTTGCCCCAAATGTAAGTAATGCCATTGTTGAGAAACCCCGCTTTAAGGGGGACAGCCTCCGTCTTTTGCTCCTCCCTTTGGTAATCTTTGCAATACCAGGTAACTTCGTATTTAGTTCCTTTTCTAATGATCCTTGCTGTTGAAGAAATAAGAATCTAATTTGCTAGATTGTGCTAAAGTTATTGGTTCATCTTCAGATAAACGTTGGTAACTTTATTACCTAGTGTATCATTAGAATTGAAAAGCAGAACTACTAGGAGTATATATACACACTATCTAATCTATATTTTAATTTGTTAGAGGGATTTGACCTTATTCTTATGGTAGCTAGATAGACAGTCTATGTAAGGCAGTTGTCTTCATGCCTGGTGGTAGAACTTAAAATTCACAGGGCAGACAGTTGGGAAGGGAAGATGGAGATAAAGTGATGGAGAGCAGGGACAAGCTAGAACCATGAAAATAGACTAGGACCCATCTCTCTTCTCACTGCCTCCAACCTTGGAGTGGGTATCCTGAACGAGAAGCTGGTGGCCTTTGTCATGAAGGTGAAAAACACCTCGCCCAGGAATAAGCAGCTGAAGGAGGATCCAGAAAAAGGTTTAGCAGTTTTAAGTCCATCTGCTGCCATACACCAAGGTAGCCAGCAGATAAGCAACCATGTGAGTGGACTACGGAAGAGCCTGCCTTTCAGCCTTACAAGCTGAAATACAAACTGATTGCGGGTTTCATTTCCATCCTTAAGATTTTGGACAGAAGTAGCTCATGTGGTTCACTCTAACCCGAAATATGGGCAGAAATTGCTTAATGTAAATAGGGTTTCCTTTCGTGGATATGAACAATGAAGAGAATTCTGGAAAAAATAGTGGTCCTAGCCACATTGACATTACAAAGCTACAAATGAATCCCTATTTTTGAGAATGTATAAGTAAAAACAGGCCTAGAAATTATATCTGTTCTGTTGAACATACGCTGCGCTACACTGCTGTGGGAGGTTTTAAGCTTCACTTTCTGTTGAAGTTAGAAAGATCACTTGCAACATTAGATTGCCCTATCCACTGTTTTTGATGTAAGGAAGTGTTTTCTTAAATTTAATAACTATCATGTTCCTTACTTCAGGTGCCAGGGAGTTGGCTTTTAATGAGATTGGGAGTGTGATGGTTCCCTGGAACCATCAAGCTTCTTTCTATGGACTGGGATTAGAGAGAGATGGGCAGAAATTGCTTAATGTGAATAGGGTTTCCTTTTGTGGATACGAACATGTTTTGGAATTAGATAGAGGTAATTGTACAATATTTTGAATGTACCACTGAATTATTCACTTTAAAATGGCTAATTTTATGTTAATTTCACCTCAAAAATTTTTGGTTTTAAATTTAACAAGAGTACTAGAGACTTGAGTGCTTTTAAGTCCTCATCTCAGTATCACTATTGCTATAAAATTGATCTGTGATTTCTTGAACAAAAGACAGGCTTGCAAAAGTAACTCAAGTAACGCTAAGATCTATATGATACTCAAGTCTAGGGGGGAAAAACAACTAGAATCCAGTCTCTTCTGTTGGGGAAAAAAAGAGTCCTATACTGATCTGTTTTAGTACTCCTAGAAGTAGTGAAAGGAACTTGGGTCTTCATGTTCAGGTCAGGAAAACCTGCAGGTGGGGCTGGCCCCTTTAAGACTCGGAGACTGAAGTACTCTGGTAGTTAAGGAGTCATAATGACAAACTTTCTTAAGTAATTCTACTTAGATATGTATTAGTTATCTGCCTGGACCAGAAGTACTGTGGAGCAGAGTACATCTCAGTTGGGTTGGTGAGAGCTGTATATAGATGAATTAAACATCTACAAGTTTATTTTCTAAAATCTAGATGTCTCTGCCCTAGATAAGGGACCAGTGATATTTAGTTTGGGTTCTTTTCTACCCTATGGGGAACACAGAAAGTTTAGTTAAAGGGAGGATTTCCTTGAAATAAGATCCTATGTGTCCAGTCCTATTTCTGAAACCCAGGGAATGGAAGGGAGAAGATCCTGCCCATGAACACCTCTGAAATCCATTGCAAATATATATTCACTTGCTGAAAAAAATGCCTGTAGCCTATGGGAAGCAAATTACTTTGAGTTTCTGTTCAAATTTTTTCATGAATGTAGGATTCATGGGCAGCCAGTGATAAAGAATCCTCAGGGGGATCCATACTTAACAATATGAACTCCAGGTTCAATATTGGAGAAAGAGATGCTGTAGCCTATCATGAGAACTTTACCCTAGGTACACATACCATAAGACAATCTCTCCTGCATAGACCTCTGTTTTTCCATGGTAGGAAGCCATCTTGATTGGTATCTGTCACTGCAGGAGATGGTGGCTTGAAAATGGACATGCTAGAGAACCTTGAATCCCTACAGTTTGCTAGTGAGATTCCAGAGGAAGATCGTTTCTGGCTGTATTTGCAGGGTCGTTCTCGGGGACTGATGATTGAGGCCTGTGCCCATGCAACTTTCTTCTGCAAAGTATTCTATAATTTGAGGTAAGCTAGGTCTCCAAGTTCAGGAAGATAGATAAGATCTCACTGCTAAGAATCCAAGTGACTTAACCTTTTTTATATTGGAGAATAAATTTGGTAGGAGGATTGTTTTCTTACTTTTTCCAACCTGCACTCAATCGCTCCGGGTCTGAAAGGACCAGAAAAATTCATACCGGGGTCTCCTGGCATAATAAGACATGGATTAGTGCAATTTTCCTTTCAGTTGGTGAAATAATGATCATTCATTTTTACAGCAGGACCACCAGTTTATTTTCCACAGCTGCTAATGACTAGCCTTTCCTTGTCTATTGGCTGCAAATAGAGTCAATTCTTTCTTTGGAAGCTGACCTAGTAGTGGACTACTTCATTTGAATTGATCATATTTATAAATAGAGCAGGAAGCTGCCGCTCAGTGAATTTGATTGGCTAACAAGGATACTGATAAAGTTGGTTATACCCAAGATAACTGTTGAGAAACCAATATATGGACTTTCCAGGAGGCATTTTAGATTTGGCTAGACATTAAGAGAAAGTGTTCTCTTTCACCAGGAGAGAAGCTTTCCGTAGAATATGGCTTATGATGCTTATATGGAAACACTAAGGCTTTAAGACTCTAGGTTTTACAAAAGTACAGAACAATTATAAGATAGTGAATAAAAATAAAAGTAATACTCTATGTATTCAGAGGGTAGACTTTGTTAATCTTGGGTCAAAAAAAAAAAAAAAAAAAAACATCCAGGACCAATACCAAGTCAGTCTCTGAAAAGTTTAGACTCAAATCCTTCATCCTCAATTTCTTAGGTCTGTTTTGCTTTTATAAGTCATTTATTTTAATAAATCATAACATTTTTATAAAAATGTTACCTGATTTCACAGGTATGTGCAAAACTGAAATAGCTAAGTAGAAAGAGTACATATATGGAAGGACAGGGGTTCACTCATCTTAACAATAGTGAAAATTGACAGCTGTCTGCGGGTGATGTCAGGGAGACAGAGGAATAAGAAGCCCAAGACCTCATAATTCCACAGAGACACTTAACAAAAAAAAATGTCTAAAAAGGCTTTATGAGAACTTTTGAAACCAGTTAATAAGTTGGTGGACTCCAGGAAAATGAAAAGCAAATAACAGGTACATGGAAAGAGTAAAGAAAAAATGGTTGCACTTGACTTGAGATAGCCTTTCTCAAACCACTACAACTTGGTATGATCAGGAGAAAACACCCAATTTAGGGATTTTACCTTAGAAAAGTGAAATGTATATTCAACATTCTAGCTTTTCAGGGTTGCCTGAAAGATTGCCTGATGGGGGTCAACATACTTTGAATGAGAACCAAGAAGAGCTCAGTGGTTTCTTGTAGAATATAGAATGTGCAGTATCCTGGTGAGACATAAGAGAAAGAGAGAGAGAGAGAGAGAAAGAAGGCCTCAGGATCTCCTGTTGGACAATTGGTACAATTCTCCCCCAGTATGTAACCAGTCTATAAAGATTGAGAGAGGTGGATGTTTTTCACATTCTCAAATCCCAGCAAAAAATAACAAGATATATGAAGAAACAAGAAAACATGGCCCAATCAATGGAACAAATAATCTCTGGAAACCAACCCTAAAGAAGCAGATCTACAAATTACCTAACAATTCAAAATAGCAATCTTTTTTAAAAAAAATTAAAAAGCACAAGGACTTATAGAACTCAGATGAACAACTAAATGAAATCAGAAAAAGAACACTTGAACAAATGAGAATATCACCAAAAAGAAAGTATTAAAATCTTGAGCTGAAGAACAGAATGCTGAAATGAGACAATTCATCAGAGATGTTCAACATTAGACTTAACCAAACAGAAGGATTGGTGAACTCAAAGTAGGATAATTAACATTATGAAATCAGAAGAAAGAAAGAAGCAGAGAGGAGGAGAAGAGAGATGAAGCTAGAGGACACCATTTATCAGGTCAATAGATGCATGATGGGGATTTCAAAAGGAGATGAGAACCTATTTGAAGAAATACGGGCCCTAAACTTCCAAAACTTGAAGTCTAAATTCAAGAAGCTCAAAGAACTCTAACTTGTAATCTAAAGAAGCCCATACAAAAACACCATATTCAAACTATCAAAGAACATTGAACACAGAAAAAAGACAATTCACATACAAGGGAGCTTCCAAAAGACTATTTCTCAACAAAAACATTACAGGCCAGAAAGTGATTTGATGTATTCAAAGTGTGTAAGAAAAAACAGCCAACTGAAAATACCTTATCTAGTCTAACTCCTTCAAACAGTGAGGAGAAAAAATACCTTCCCATAAAAGATCAGGGAGTTCATCACTGATGGATAAACCTTACAAGAAACGGTAAAGAGAGTCCTTAACGTTAAAATGAAAAGATGCTAGATAGCAACATGAAAGTATACAAAAATGATCTCTCTGGTAAAGTTAAATATATATGCAAATACATAGCCTTCAATACTGTAATAGGTGTTATATAAATAATTTCTAATTCTGATATAGAATAGTGAAAGCATGAAACAACTGATTATGTTAATGGATACAAAATATAAAAAGGTATAATTTGTGACAACAATAACAAAAAATGGGTGAGAAATAGAGATTTTATATGTGATTAAAGTAAAACCATATTGGTTTAAAATAAGTTATTATACCTAGGATTCTTATGTCTTTCTCTGTGGTAACCATAAAGAAAATCCCCATGGAAGATAAACAAAAGAAAATGGTAAGGGAATTAAAACATATCAATTAAAAAATGAAACACAAAGGAAAGCAGCAAGAGAAAAAGAGGAACAAAATAGCTACAAGATAAAGCAGAAAGCAATTCACAAAATGGCAAAAGTCCTTCCCTATCAGCAATTATTTTATATATAAATGGAGTAAACTCTCCAATCAAAAGACACAGAGTTGCTGAATGGAGAGACAAGGACACACAGTCTGAAATTAAAAAGATAGAAATAGATATTCCATACCAATGGTAACCAAAAGAAACCAGGCCATATTTGTATCAGCAATACTTTGTCAAAAACTGGCATGAGGGACAAAGAATGACTTATTTATTATGATTAAAAAAACCCAAATTCACCAGGAAGATATAATAAATGTAAATATATATGCCCTTAGTATCAAAGCATCCAAGTATATGAGGTAAATATTGTCAGAATTGAAGGTACTCAACAATAGTAGGAGAAGCTGGGGATATAGCTCAGTTGGTAGAGTGCTTGCCTTGCATGTACAAGGCCCTGGGTTGGATCCCAAGCACCAAAAACAGAACAAACAAATAATAGTAGGAGATTTCAACTCTCCATTTTCAATAAAGCTATAACAACCAGATAGGAGACCAAATAAGTATATAAAGGGGTGGAATCCAGTTGGAATCTAACAAACAGATACATAGCACTCTACTTGACAGCAGGAAACAATATATTCTAAAGTACACATGGAACATTCTCCAGGATAGATCACCATCGGGCCACAAAATAAGTCTAAACACATCTAATATTAAAATCATATCAGGAATCTTTTACCACAATGAAATTGTTACGGTTTAGAGGTGTCCCCCAAAAGCTCATGTGTGAGACAATGGAAGAATTTAAACAGGTGAAATGATTAGATTATGAAAGTTGTATCCGAATCAATGGGTTGATCAACTGATACAGATTAACTGGGTGGTAACTGTAGGCAGGTAGGATATGCTGGTCGCTGGGCATGTGCCTTTGAGGTTTTTATTTTGTTCCTGGTAAGTGCTCTCCCTGCTTCCTTGCTGTCAAATCCTAAGCCATTCCTCTGCCACGCCCCTCTGCCATGATGTTCTACCTCACCTTGGGTCTAGAGCAATGGAGTAAGCCATTTAAGGACTGAAACATCTGAAATGGTAAACCCTAAATAAACTTATAATTGGTCTTTTCAATCAATAGATCTTTTGGTCATGGTGATGAAAAGGCTGACCTAAAACAAATAATCTAGAAAAGAGTAGCCAAAGGAAAATTCACAAAAATGTGGAAATTAACATACTCATTAATGGCTCAAAAAAGAAAAGGGAAGTGCTGGGGATATAGCTCAGTTGGTAGGGTACTTGCCTCACATGCACAAAGTCCTGGTTTCAATCCCCAGCACCACACACAGACACACAAAAAGGGAAATTAGAAAATATCTTGAAAAATTAAAATGGAAACATGACATCAAAACTAATAGGACAGGAAGTGGATCCTGGTGGGGACACAGCCAGGGCGAGGCCAAGGGCAGAGGCGAGGTTTCCGAAAGATGGGAACAGGGAAGAGGGGCCCTTGGAGTCCGGCGGGTCTGCCTCGTAGCTCCACCGCCTGGCAGCGGCTGGGTGTGCACTCCCGAGTTGCCCATCAACCCGGGTTTTAGATGGGCAAACAGGCTTGGAGAGGGGGAGACATGGAGCACCTTCCCTGCCCTGGTGAGGTCGCGCGAATGCCGGTAAGGGGAGCCCAGGACTAGCTCCTAGGTGGAATTCCCTGGGGCCATGGGGAGTGCAGGCCGGGAGGTGGCAGGTCTGGAGGCCCCAGCTCCCTGGACCCATGGCTGCTGCCCACCTGCAGTCTGCCTATAGCCGGCTGGGATGCCTGTTTGGAGGGCGGTATTTAGTGTTTTAAGATTTTTTTTTTTTTTAAGTTGTCAATGGACACATGGTGAGAATGGAACCCAGTGCCTCACACATGCTAGACAAGTGCCCTGCCACTGAGCGCCAGCCTCAGCCCCTTTAAGCTAACTGTTCTAAATGCCTCTCTCAAAATACAACTCCTGTGCCGCAGTCTGGCTGGGCACAAATAACTGGGAGGTCAAGAGCCACTTGTAGATTCAAGCAGGAACGAACTTTATTCGAGAACCCAGGCGAACTCCACAGGAACTCAATGGGAACTCCGAGAGAACTCAAGTAGCGGGCACCCAAAGTAGCAGGAGCCACCTTATTGCCAGACAGCAGAGGTTTATATAAACAACTGAATACCCAGTTTGTTTCAATTTAGCATCATCCAGTTACAGCAATCAGTCATTATCCCAATAATTATACACAGCTCAACTCAACCATTATCATCTTAATGGCTTGCTGGCACTACCCCTCAACCATTCCTTCTGGCAAAATGCCAGGCACCATCTTGACTTGGTTGTGGCTCTCAACATCTCCCCCTTTTGTTTTTAAACAACAAGTATATAGCTTAGGGACCATGCCTGTCTTAGGTTGTCCAATACTACATATGGTCTTTACCCATCATCGGATGAGCTGACTTCAAGGCGTCAGCCTCCTGTCTTAGGTTGGTACCATTGCAATTGGATCTTACCTGTCATTGACTACCGGCCCAGCATTATTTAGCCATACTTGTGGATAACCTGCTACAAGCAGAAAGGGGAGGACACAAAATGCCACGACACCAAGCCAATTGACGGCCCCTTTTGGAAAAATTGTACCACTGATGACACCATGAGCAAAGATACCCCGGCACTACCACAATTCGATGCACCAACAGATAGTTCACAATGTATACAAGTGATACATAGTCCAAGCAAGTTCTGCAAGCAGTTCAAAGCAGAGGAATCCATTAATATGTCCATTTCCTCCCAAAGTAAATCAACTCCTTGATTGAGCATCACTTGTTGAGTTATTATTCATTGATGCATCAGTTTATACAGTTTGTTGTGATAGCTATCGCAGAAGCTGTAGTTTAGTTTTCAGTCATCCTCTATCTTTGTCTTCACCGGCACTGGGATGAAGATAGGAATTCTGGCAATGATGGCTAAAAAAAAATTATGTAACATTCCAGCAGGCACTAAAAAAAAGCAATTTTCAAAACAATTTAGTATCCTGAATAGAATTAGATATAATGAAAAGGAAAGGTGAAAGTAAACAAACAGATCTGTTAGCCACATTTTAAAATAATCCTCAACAGCTGTTTACCTAATTTAAATTAAACCGTGTAAATCACGTGAATAAAAAAATATTTAGATACATAAAAAAAAAACAACTAATAGGACACAGCATAACAGCATAAGGAATACTAAGGGAAGTTTATAGGTCTAAATGTCTACATTAAAAAAGAAGAGAGGGGGCTGGGGTTGTGGCTCAGTGGTAGAGCTCTTGTCTTCAATCCTAAGCACCACATAAAAATAAATGTGCAACTACAACTAAAAAAAAAAAAAGAAAAAGAGATCTCAAATCAACAGCCTCACATAACACCTTGTCTTAGTTCATTTTTTTCTGCTATAACAATACCACAGAGTTTATAAATTATAAAGAAAAAAACATTTATTTCTCACAGTCCACATGGTGAGAGTCTAGGGGGGGGGAGGAGAGGGAGAGACTGGAAGCAAGAGAGCATGTACATAAGAGGGCTGCTTTATAACAAAGCCACTCCTGCTCCAGGTACAGTGGCACATGCCTGTAATCTCAGCAACTCAGGAGACCATCGCAGGAGGATTGTGAGCCAGCCTCTACCAATTAGCAAGAGCCTGTCTCAAAAGTAAAAAATTTAAAGGGCTGTAGCTCAGTGGAAGAGTGTTTCTGGGTTCAATCCCAGTGCTGTAAAACAAAACCACTCCTATAATAACTAGCCTACTACCGTGGTAATGGGATTTATCAATTCATGAGGGTGGAGCCCTCATAACCCAATCAATTTCCAAAGGTTCCATCTCTCAAAACTGTCACAGTGACAATTAAGTTTCAGCATAAGTTTTAGAAGAGACAATCCCCCAGGATCATTTTGATCAGCAGAGAAAGCAGCTGAGAAAGTAAGCAACCCTTTCATGATAAAAACACTCAACAAACTAGGAAAGGAGGGAAATCACCTCAACTCAATAAAGGCCAGACATGGAAAGCTCAAGCTAACATCACACTCAATGGTAGTACAGGTAGAGTGAGAGGAATTAGGCAAGAAAGAAAAATTAGACATCCAAATTGGAAAGGAAGAAGTAAAATGATCTCTGCTTATAATGACTGATTTTATATGTAGAAAACCCAAAGACTGGGTGAGAGGGGAAGGGAGGGGGTGTCAAGGTAGAAAAGATGGTGGAATGAGTTGGACATCATTACTCTAAGTACATGTATGAAGACATGAATGGTGTGACTCTACTTTGTATACAACCAGAGACATGGAAAATTGTGCTCTGTATGTGTAATATGAATTGTAATGCATTCTACTGTCATATATAACAAATTTAAATTTAAAAACCCCAAATTCTTCCCCCAAAACTGTTAAAACTAGTAAACATTTAGCAAAGTTGCAGGATATGAAACCAGCACTCAAAAATTAGTAGCATTTCTTTAATCTAACAAAGAATAATCTGAAAATGAGAAAACAATCTCAGCTGGGGGTGTGGCTCAGTGGTACATGCATACACAGACTCTGGGTTCAAGGGCTCATGAGAGAGAGAGAGAGAGAGAGAGAGAGAGAACACACAAACACATTTGCAGTAGCATCAAATAATTAAAAAAAAAACTTAACCCAAGGGGATAAAAGGCCCGAACACTGAAAACAATAAAACATGCTGAAAGAAATTAAGAAGACTTAAATAAATGGAAAGACACCCTATGCTTATAGATTGGAAGACTTTTAGTATTAAATTGTTCATGCTGTACACACCTGTAATCTCAATGACTCTCAAGAGGTTGAAGCAAGAGGCTCTCAAGTTCAAGGCCAACCTGGGCAATTTTGCAAGATCCTCAGCAACTTAGTAAGAACCTGTCTCAAATTTAAAAAATAAAAATAAAAAGGGCTGGGGATGTGGCTCAGTGATAAAGCACCCCAGTACTCCCATCCCTCCAAAAAAAGTCCACAAAGTGATCTATAGATTTAATTCAATCCTTATCAAAATCCCAATGGCATTTTTTTTGTAAAAATAGAATAAAAGCATACAATAATTTATATGGAATCTCAAAAGAATAGCCAAAACCATCTTGAGAAAGTTAGAAAATAAAAAAGCTGTAGGCCTCACACTTCTTGATTTCAAAACACATTACCAAGCTATAGTGATCAAAACAGCTTGGTACTTGCATAAAGTTGGCCAATAGACTGATGGAACAAAATACCCCAGAAATAAACCACATAATATAGTCAAGTGATCCTATGCCAAATCTACACAACAGGGATAATCTCTTCAACCAACAGTTTTGGGGAAATTGGTTATCTACCTATTAAAGAATGAAGTCAAACACTTACATTACTTGTGTATATTTCACTGTATATATATTTCATACATATGTACACACACACATGAAATGGACAACAAGTATATAAAAAGATTCTCATATCACTAATCATTGGGAAAATGCAAATCAAATTCACAATGAAGTATCCTATTAGAATGTCTGTTAGAATGGCTGTAATTAGAAAATGAAACAAGTGAGTTTTGGTGAGGATGTGGAGAAATTGGAACTCTTGTGCACTGTTGGTGAGAATGTAAAATGGTGTAGAGGAGAATATGGAGGGGCCTTAAAATTTTAAAAACAGAATTGCCATATGATCCAAAAATCCATTTCTGGGTATATATCCAAGAAAATTAGAAACAGAATCTCAGCATGATATTTGCACATTTGTTCATTGCAGGATCATTCATGGTAGTCAAGATGTGGAAGCAATCTAAGTGTCCACTGGTGATGAAGAGATAAAGAAATTGTGTTATATAACACAGCAGAATATTATTCACCCCTAAAAAAAAAATCTTATGCTACAACATGGATGAAACTTGAAGACATTATGCTAAGTGAAATAAGCCAGTTGCAAAAAGATAAATACTGCATAATTACACTTCAGTGAGGCATCTAAAGCGGAAATAGAAACAGAAAGTAGAATGTAGTTGCCAAAAGTTGGGGGCAGGGGAAACAAGGAGTTGTTATTCAATGGATATGTAGTTTTAGGTTTTCGTTTTTGTTTTTTTGCTACCAGGGATTGAACTCAGGGGCACTTGGCCACTGAGCCACATGCCCAGCCCCTTTTTGTATTTTATTTAGAGACAGGAGCTCACTGAGTTGCTAAGTGTCTTGTTAAATTGCTGAGGCTGGCTTTGAACTTATGATCCTCCTGTCTCTCTCTAGAGATTTGTTGCACAATAGTGTGCTTATTGTTAATAGTACTATACACTTAAAAATAGCTAAAATGGTTAATTGCTTGTTATTTGTTCTTTATCATGATTAGAAAAATTTGACAGCTGTCAGCCTTGAAAACAAAAAGGAGTAGGTCCACATGCATCACACGCTATGGTATAAGGTACAAGATTGGCTGTTCACAGTGATGGCCCAAAGTCAATGAAATGATTAAATATTCAGACTTGTATTTAAGAAGGCAGGAAAACACATAATGCATGTAACCAAAAGATGTTCATTTTAAAAGGTTTTAATCTAGTTTTGGTCCCTTGGAAAGGGGGTGTGATAACATTTCTAGAAAACTTATTCAGATGGAACATTTAATTTGTTAGTAAAGGTGGGTAAATGGCACACAATTGAAATGCTTTCTCTCTGAAGTACCTAAGGTGCCACTAGGCTTCTGAGAAAATGAAAGAAACAAACATTAGAGGTTGACAGGAAGAGCTACAGTGTGTACATATATTTATGTATGTTTGTCTGTTCATTCTCCAGAGAATTATTACAAAAGAATCAAAATTCCAGCTCTCCCTCAACTAAATCAGGTGATGTGGACATGGATGACAACAGGAACCTAAAGGTTGGCATCATTGGAGGTGGCCGTCTTGGGAAGCAGCTGGCTCGTACACTGCTACAACTTGTCCCCATCCCTGCTGCAAGTCTGCGGATCTCCACCCGGAGGCCAGAGGTCCTGGGTGAGCAATGTGTGTTAGACAGTGGAGTTTAGATGTGCTGGTTAGATGATGACAAAGCCATTTTGAGAGTCCCTTTAAACGGGGAATTCTTGTGCACAGCACCAGAGTGCTTAGTTTGCTAGCTCCAAAAGCTAGAAACATGTGGTTTAAAACAACCTTTTTCTCCACTGAACTGTTTTGTATCAGCCTCTCCTGCCTGTGTCCTTGGTGGTGAATTATCTTCTGGATTCAGGGAAGCTTTCCATACAAAGTTCAAATCTTCTAACTCAACTAGGTAAATTCTGGTGGGTGTTAAACAGTTTCAAATATTTGCAGTTGGCCTAGTAGTTTTTTAAAATAACATTTACTGGATTTCAAAAAATGTTTAATAATAATTCCATTTACTAACCTGTGTGATAGAAATAAGTACAAGGAGGAATTATGAATATACCTTAGTGGTAGACTGTTTTTTTTTTTTTTTTTTGAGAGAGAGAGAGAGAGAGAGAGCGAGCAGACAGAACATCTTTGTTTGTATGTGGTGCTGAGGATCTAACCCGGGCCACACGCATGCCAGACAAGCGTGCTACCGCTTGAGCCACATCCCCAACCCTAGTGGTAGACTGTTTACCTACCATGTGCAAGACCTTGGGTTCAATCCCTAGTACTACAAGAAAAAAAAAAAATAAGAACAATGATTACTTCTGGCAAGAAAGTCTGAGAAAGGACCTGGAGGAATTTCTGGGGAGACGGAAATATTTTACATCTTGAGAGAAGTATGAATTATATGAATGTATTCATTTTTACAACTGTTCAAAACATATACTTCAGATCTGTGTGGCACTGTATCTAAATCATCTTTCAATAATAAAACCTGAAAAATAAAACAACATAAATAATATATATTATAAAATATTAGAAGGAAGAAAATAATAACTACCTGTAATCTTCTTATCAGGGTTATCAGTTTTCTTGTCCCTGCCCTTTTCTTTTTGTTCTGTTGGGGATTGAACACAGGCCTTTGTACATGCAAGTCAAGCACTGGACCAACTGAGCTATATTTCCAGCCCAATATTTCTTCCCTTTTGATTTCTCTAATTATCTCAGTTATTGTTTTAGTCAGCTCTATTGCTATGACCAAAAAGATCTGACAAGAATAGTGTCAAAGAGAAAAGGTCTATTTTATTGCAGTTTCAGAGATCTCAATCCATAGATGGCCAACTCCATTGCTCTGGGCGGAAGGTAAGGATGAACATTATGGTGGAAGGACAGAGGAAAGCATCTCAGGATTAGGCAAAGAAGCAGAAAGAGGGCTCCACTCAACAGGGACAAAATACAAACCCCAAAGGCACACCCTCAGTGACCTACCTCCTCCATCTATACCCTACCTGCCTATAACTACCACCCTGTTAATCCATACCAGTGAATTAATCCATTGATTATGTTATAGCTCTCATTATCTAATCCTTTCACCTGTGAAAATTCTTGCATTGTCTCACATATGAGCTTTTGCAGGACACGTCAGATCTAAACCATAACGTCGATACTGTGCCTACCTGTTTGTATTATGCCTTTTAAATTTAATGTGTCATAAGCATATTTCTGTGTCACTTCACAATAATGATTTAAAACCCTTCCACTGTCCCTGTGAGCACTCCCTGTGTCTTCTGGGCAGGGTATGCTTACTGCCTCTGGGGTCTGGACATTTAGATGCCAAGGTGTGTGTCTGGGCAGTGGCTAGGAGTGCCAGATCCTCCATACCCATTCTACCTTTCTCTATTTTTGCGTCAGGATTTAAAATTTATTTATCTCAGTAAATAGATGAATATAAATATGAGTTTAAGATTGTATAGCTTCCAAAGTATGGGATATACTGTAATTTATATAACTGTGCCATAAATATTTAGTTGAACTTCCTTGTACATAATTTTTGAAAGTTATGTTTTATTTTGAAATAAAAATATTAGAAAGAAGAAAATAATAAGTACCTGTAATCTTCTTCTCAGGGTTGTCAGTTATTTCTAGATCAACATGAGGGTATAATGTTATTAAGATGTTATTTGCATACAATAAACTACATACATAGCATATAATTTAATGTTTGGTTTTTTTTGTTGTTGTTTTAAAGACAGAGAGAGAGAGAGAGAGAGAGAGAAATTTTAATATTTATTCTTCCAGTTGTTCGGCGGACACAACATCTTTGTTTGTATGTGGTGCTGAGGATGGAACTCTGGCCGCACGCATGCCAGGCGAGCACTGCTACTGCTTGAGCCACATCCCCAGCCCATAATTTAATGTTTTGACCTGTGTACATATGTTAGTTTTATGTCACTGTGACCAAAATACTTAGCAAGACCAACTTAGAAGTGGAAAAGTTTATTTTGAGTTCATGGTTTCTGAGGTTCAGTTCATGGTCTTCTGGCTCATTACTCTGGGCCCAAGGTGAGACCAAGACATCATGGTGGTAGGGTGTGGCAGAGGAAAGCTGCTCACTTCATGGCAGCTGAGAAGGAGAGGGTGGGGGCAGGCAGGGGAAGCAGGTGAGGCACCAAGGAAATATAAATCCTCCAGGCACACCCCACCTGCATACAGTTTACACCCACTTAGTCCATTCAAATTATTAGTCCATCAAATGGATTAGTCCACAGATTGGCTCATAGAACTTGTGATCTAATCATTTCACCTCTAATCATTCCTGCATTAACACAGGAGTGTTTGGGGGACACCTCATATCCAAACTACAATAGTATACCTGTGAAGCCATCAACACACTCAAGATAATGAGCATACCCTCAAAAGTTGCCTCTTGCCCTTCATGAATCTCTATATCCCTGCAGCTCCCCACCCAAGAATTTAATGACAATGATTTCTGTCTCTACAGATTGATTAGTTTGTATTCTCTAGAATTTTTTTTTGTATTAATGGAGTCATACAGTTTGCATTTATTTTGGTCTGGTTTCTTTTACTCTACATAATTATTTTGAGATATAACTATGTCTTTCATGTATCAATATCCTTTTTACTTCTGAGTATCATTTAATTGTATTAATATTGCATAGTTTATTCACCTGTTAATATAGATTATTTAGTTTTTGGCTATCACATATAAAGCCACTATGAACATTTTTTGGGGGGTGCAAGGTAAGCACTCTACCAACTGAGCTATAGCCCCAGCTGCCACTATGAACATTTTTAATGTAAGTGTTCATGTGCACTACTTTCTTTTTGCTTTCTTTTGGTGGAGCTGGGGATTGAATTCAGGGCCTCATGCATGCTAGGCAAACTTTATATTCCCATTCCTTACTTTCATTTTTCTTTGGTAAATACTTGAGAGTGAAATGGCTGAGTCATGTGGTAAGTATATGTTTATTTGTTAAGGGATTTCTAATGCTTTTTTTTTTTTTCAAATTAACTCAAAAAATCTTGTTCAGGTGTAAATTTTTATCAGCAATGTATAAAAATTGCTTTATTATGCCACTGTCAATGCTGGGAATAATTTTTAACATTGCCATTCTAATATGCCTTTTCAATTTTTCCTGTTTTTAATTGATCACTCGAGGAATTTAAATTTTTTGTAAGTTTATTGCTATTTCATCTTTTTTCGGTATTGGCCCATTTTTCAAGTTAGAGTGCCTATGTTTTTCTTACTGATTTGTAAATGTTCTTTCTAAAGAAAGGAAACTTTTTTAAAAAGTCTTATTACTCAAGGTGTATTTCTTTTTTTCTGTTTTTTCAGTATGGGGTATTGAACCTTGGAGCGCTCTATACCTGAACTACATCCCCAGCCCATTTTTTATTTTGAGATAGGATCTCATTAAGTGGTAGAAGTTGACCTCAAACTTGCAACAACCATCCTGCCTCTGCCTCCTGAGTCCCTGGGATTACAGGTGTGCTCGATTGTGCCAGATTAAGGCATATTTCCTAGCCCCAGTGGTAGAATTAGTAAATATGATATTTCAATATAGTACATATATTCTTTGGGAAGCAGTATGTTTAGTAGTAATAAAATTAGTTTAAAAATTCCTCTGTGTGGGCTGAGGATGTGGCTCAAGCGGTAACGCACTAGCGGGGTGCTGGGTTTGATCCTAAGCACTACATAAAATAAAATAAAGATGTTATGTCCACTGAAAACTGAAAAATACATTTTAAAAAATTCTCTCTCTCTCTCCCTCTCTCTCTCTCTTTTCACTCTCTCTCTTAAAAAATTCCTCTGTGTGTTGTGTAAGGAAGCAAAGATTCAAAATGCTCAGCATCAACTTCTATGCAAGTGTAAGGAATTAGAACAACTCATGAAAGAATGATGCATGCACCTCCTTTCTAAACTTTCTCTTTGTCCTATCTGTTTTCCAGGATCATGAGTATCTGGATAATCTCAGCATCATTTCTGTCATGTATTCTTGGTTGTTAAAATAAGAAGTCACCTCTCCAGTGTCTCTCATATTTTCTTTTTAAAAAGTTTTGTCAGTGCATTATAATTATGCATACTGGTTGGATTCCTTGTTGAATATTCATACATATATGCAGGCACAATATAATTTGGTCAATCTCATTCCCCACATATCCTTTTTTTCTTTTTTTAAATTTTTAATATTTATTTTTTAGTTCTCAGTGGACACAACATCTTTGTTTGTATGTGGTGCTGAGGATCGAACCTGGGCCGCACGCCTGCCAGACGAGCCTACTACCGCTTGAGCCACATCCCAGCCCCTCCTTTTTTTCAATGACACTTAAAATATGTGCCAGATGTGAGTGTATGCTTTAAATTCTCACTTTTGAAAATTTGTATTGCAGGAAATACAATCAAATGATTCACTACCAGTGAGTGTTTTTATGTACTCCATGAATTATCACATTTCTCTGTATTGATAAATATCCTATTAAGTTGTGTATACTTACATTATGAACTCGTTAAATCTTTCCAAACTCTTCCCAGCATTTGCTCTATACTTTTCTACTCTCCTAGTCTTACCCACCAACTCAAGATACTGAGCTGTATAACTTTGGGCAAGTCACACGGCATTCTGAAGTCTGAGTTTCCTCTTCTATAATATAGGAATACAACTGGGCTCTGCCTCAGAAGGTCCTTATGAGGATTACCTTAAAGAATGTACATAAAGTAAATTCTCTGGCCCATTGTAAATCTTCAGTAAACTGAAGCCCAGAGATTTTTTTTTCTTCCTTAAAACTTTTTGAAGAATTCTAGCATTTGGTGTAAAAGTAAGATAAAAGTGAATTGTATTAGCATCTCAAATGTTGCTGCAGTAGCACTGGCTGCTTTAGCAACGGGCTTAGGGCCTGGCTGTGTAGCTCGAAGAAGACAGATAGGAGTGTCTTCTGATATGTGTGGCAGCAAGTCTTGGGTTGATTTACTGAGATAAAGTAGTGATCATCCTCTCCCCATAACTGATGCTCAGGTCAAACTCCTTGTACTGTGCTCTTTTTCTGTCTTCCTTTATCCTTCTTAGCCGAGTTCCAGAAGCTGGGGGTCCAGTGCTTTTACCATAATTCTGATCTGGTGGGTTGGGCCAACGTGATATTCCTCTGCTGCTTGCCATCTCAGCTGCCTCATATCTGCATAGAAATTCAAACCAGTCTTGAAAAGGCCTGCATTGTGTTCAGCTTTGTAGCAGCCATCCCAATACCCAGGTATCTCGTTAGGACAAGAACAGAATTGGCAGAACTACTGTTTTCTTATCTCTGACTACTGGTTCCCTCTTGGAGTTGGTCATTCCTAATAATAAAATAAGGCAGCTTGATCTGCTGAAAGACCCAGCCAGCCTTTCTAATTGTGTCTTCCCCAGTTTTCCACAAATAGTGCTTGTGGGTGAGATATTTGTTTGCTGTGTGAATGTTGAGAATTTGTAGGAGCACATTGTCTCCCACTACTTGAAGTTGAATGATATTCCTCTGTGCATCAATGAGAAGAGAAACTAACAGTCAACAACATGAGAGGTTACTACAAATATGTATCAAATATTATTTTTCTACTCCTAGTGTCTAGCCTAGTGCCTGACACATGAAAACTTTCAATTAGTGTTTGTTAGATGGATGGATGAACAATTCAACTAATTAGTGCCCTCATTGCAGACCCAGAGCTGCATTTGCCTCTGAGCAGTGCTATGTAGGAAAGCCTGTTTGCTGGTGATGGGTGTGAATGCAATAGATTATATACTTATTTATCCCAGTCTTTGGCATAAATGGCATTGCATTCCCAGTTTTGGTGCCTTCCAGGTTGAAACTATTATTGAACCACACCAATATCTTGCGACCTCAGTATCATTGTGTTGAGGATTTTGAGAAGATCTGGGGAGCCAATAAGGAAATCACAGCTGCTCTCCAAGATCCTGTGATTCTTCGGGCTACCTGCCCCTACAGTCCTGATGGTAATGATTCACTATATTTATGGTGTTCTTTTCAAATTGCCTTTCCCTTGCCTGTTCCGATCTCATTAAATCCCTGGATGGCGTGATTGTTGTGGAGAGCACAATTTAGATATATTCTCAGTCCTTCGGGTTTGGAATTAGATCAGTGTTTGATGATAAAAAGCAGCCATTATTAGGGAATATTGAGAAGGCTGGTTATCTGTACTCTTAAAGATGAAGTGGAAATAACCAGAGGAAATAAACAAGAGAATGCAATATCTGGAACTAAAATGGCTTTCCCATATTCTAATCTAAAATTTTCTCCAGTACCTTCCATTATTGGCAAGGACCATTCTGGATAAACTTTTGCCTCATTTGCAATGTCTACATTAGTCATCTGTCCTTCTTTGTATGGTCAACACATGATGTTATAAAGGGAAAATTGAGCTGTTACCTATTGGAGGGAAGAGTGTTTGCTCATCTCCAGGTCCTTATTACCAACCTGTGGCTTATAATCAGTGTCTTGGGTTTCTCCTAGGATCCCTGTAACTCATTTTTGGTGGTGCTGATTGGTATTTACCTTCTCATTGATGTGTAGGGGGAATAATCCTCAATATCAAATGGCTGGAGGGATTAATCTATGCAGCCCTAAACATGTGCACAGAAAGCAATGTGGATTGCCGACAAGCACTGCAGCTTTTGAATCAACTATTTCTTTCTGTTCACTTCAAAGACTGTATGAAACATGAAGAATCCTGCCCAGAATTTCAGCTACCACATGTCATCAGCAAATCCTATGTCAAGAACTTGCTTCATAGAAGGTAAGATGTCAGCCAGCCAACCATTCTAGTTCTCTCATATTCTTGGCTTAGTAGATGCTCTTTTATCCTTTCATGTTCTTTTTAAAAATTGATAAAATAATACATTCTTGTAAAAAATTTGATTGATAGCAAAGTAAAAGACTCCTTTGCCCCAATCCCATTTCACAAATTTTACCTCTGTTTTTATTTTTGTCTTGTTACCTACCTATGTATTTACAAACACATTTATATTGCCATTATAATAGTGCATGCATATTCATTCCTGTGAATGGTGTCAGAAACATGGGAACTACATTTACTGCTTTTTCATCCCATCCCATGTTAGCACAACCATATTTGCTTCATTTATGAGCAGTTGCATAGGCATCCATTAGAAACATTTATTAAATTTGTTCACTCCTATATCCACTTGATATTGATATAGTTATTTCCTTCTGCCTCAACTTTTGTACAAAGGGCTGATTTGAACATTCTTGTACTTATTTTTCACTCTTGACCCAGGATTTCTGTTGGAAAAGTATGTGTATAAGTTTCTGGGTTAGATATCATATGTTTCCTGTTTGACAGATATTCCCAAATTCTACATTTGTTCCTGGGTGGTCTCTTTGGGAACTTAAGTTGCCATCTTTGTTCTGATAGCTCATAACTCTGTGTCAGTGCTGTTGGTAAGTGCATACTCTCCCTCTCTGTTGCAATGCAACATATCCAAAGACACATCTGCTCTTATACCCTGCTCATTTAGGGTTTCTTATCTAATTACATAGTGCTTCATCAGGTTATTCAAACCAGAACCCTGGAAGTAATCCTTGATTCTTCCCTCTTTCTTTTGGATTTCAGTTGATCACCGATGGGCAGTTTATTCTCTAGGGTGTGATATGCTTTCAGATTGAGGATTTTTCTTCTCTATTGTCTTGGGTTAATCTCTATTTTTAGAATCTCTATTATCCTGGGAATTACTTTCATCTCTTTGTTATTTTGTTTCTTGAACACCACTTGACTTCTGTGATAGTTGATTTATTATATTAGTAAAACATACCTTGTTGTATCTTTCTAAAGAAAAGGGTACACCAAAAATAACTTTTAGAGATATTTTATATCTTAAAATGTTTTTTTTTTCTTGCCTAATGTTTCACTGAGAACATAGCCAAATACAGAATTCTAGGTTGAAAATAATTTTGAGGCATTGCTCCATTGTCTTTGAGCTTCCAGAATTGCTGTTGAGAGTTACAATACCACTCTAATTCTTGATCCTTTGTCTGAAATCTGTTTCTTTCTGATTTGGAAGCTGATAAGCTCTTTTTACCTCAGTATCTTGAGATTTTATTATGTGTCATAATGTGAGTATTATGGTTTGGATGTGAGATGTCCCCTGAAAAAGCTCATGGATGTTCAGAGGTAAAATGATTAGATTATGAGGCCCATAACCTAACTAGTTGATGGATTATTCCTTTGAATGGATTCCTGGGTGGTAATGGTAGGCAGGTGGGGTGTGGATGGGAAAAGCAGGTCTCTATGGGCATGCCCTTGGGGGATTATATTTTGTCCCTGGTTCCTCCCTGGGTCTCTCTGTTTCCCATATGCCATAAGGTGAGCAGCTTCCCTCTACCACACCCTTCTGCCATGATGACTTTCTTGGGCCCAAATTAATGGAGTTGGCCAACCATGGACTGAGACCTCTGAAACCCTGAGCCCCAAATAAACATTTCTTTCTCTAAATTGATCATTTCAAGTATTTTGGTCACAGTAACAAAAAGCTGACTCACACAGTGGGTCTATTTTAATTCACTGTTGAACACTTGGTGGACCTTTCTCCCTTTTAACTTAAAAAAATTGTAAAATATACACATACATAGAATAACTACCTATTCCATAAAGCCATAAATATAGTTTAATGATTTATTGTAAAACAAATACTCATGACTCTGCCACCCACAAAAACAAAGAAAAGAAAACTACCACCAACAGCATATTCATTGGGATTTTGCAAACTAAATTCTTCTGTTTTTTCTAATTATGTCTCATAATTTTGTCCCCTCTCCTGTTTCTCTATTTTCCCTTTGTGGCATTTTTATTACTCAAATGTTGGACTTCTTGGATGGATCTTCTGATTTTCATCTTTCGTAGCTTTGGTATATTTTTTTCCTCTGCTTTCTAAGAGATTTCCTCAATTATCTTGTTTTTTTTCTGTCTTTTTTTTTT